CTAGCAGTACTCAGATATCAGTACTCAACTAGCTAGAAATATGTTCTTTCTCGAGCCGTCTAGAAAGTCAGTACTACAAAGCGTAGACCTGATTTTGCACATTCTATGGAGAGTTGATGTATCCCATAGGTACTACCATTTTTGGAGGCTATAAAGCTAACTCCTGCAGCTGTGTATGGAGTCGACATTCACCATATTGCTTTCCTTTTTTTTCTTAATTCATTGCAACTGTTTGCAACTATGACACTAAACTAAGGGTCTTGGTAGTAGAGTTGGCTTCGTTTTCGACTCACTATCGAGAATTCTGAGGTTCGATTCCCGGGCTGGATAGATATGGTTGGGCGCGTAGTGTATGTATTGACTAGCTGCTCGTGCCTTGATACAATGCATTATTAAATATATGTAATAGACTTTTGTGGGTAAATCTAGTTTGCATTTAGCTGTGTCACGGTCCTAGGAGCCGGTCGGCCGAGCAGACAGCACACTGGACTTATGATCCTGTGGTCCTGGATTCGATCCCAGGCGCCGGCGAGAAACAATGGGCAAAGTTTCTTTCATCCTATGCCCCTGTTACAGACCTAGCAGTAAATAGATACCTGGGTGTTAGTCAGCTGTCATGGGCTGCTTGGCCTCCACCTGGTCACGACCAGGTGGAGGCCTGGTCGAGGACCGGGCCGCGGGGACACTAAAGCCCCGAAATCATCTCAAGATAACCTCATGATAACCGTTTAACCGTCCCCCTTGTTCATCTTCCAGTCATCATTGATTGACTTGTCTTTCCTTTGAGTAGTTTAAATGCGGCTTAAACACTTATTATTATTATTATTATAAAATAAGTGAACTTTATATTATTTTATTATTATAAAAAAAGAACTTATATTACATAAAAATAAAGGAAATTGCAACTTTGATGGCCGATGCGAGGCTGTTCGAAATGTCTAAGGCTTAGTGGCTTCAGGGATGCTAGTCCTGCTGTGCACGAGGCTGCTGGTCACTGCAGCAGATGTGCACAAACACAATATATTGGCTTTATTGAAGGTGTTGCTCGCTGTCTCTCTCGTTGCTCAGTTTCTATTGCTTTGGCATTGCTGTTGATCTTAGTTGCTCGCCATGTGGAAGGGCTCGGCTACAAGTACCTCTGGCAGTTTGTAACATCTGCTGATGTAGATGTGATACTTATACCATATATATACATACTTATACCCATATATATAGGGGAGACATCTCCTGTCACGCAGGGTGCAGTCGCACCTCCACAGATCTCCAGTATCAGCTCTTGATACTGGTAATGGCTCAAAAGGGCCACCACTTACGGGCTATTCATGCCCGTGCCACCTTTTGGGGTGGCTTAATCTTCATCAATCAATCATATATATATAACATTAATAATTGTGTAACTAGCGTCAAAAGATTGTTATTTGCCTAGCTAAACGAACTAGAGGGTTCAGTTCCTGAAACGATTATGTGCCTCTGTAACCCTTTTCACCACCACCCATGGGATGGGTATGGGGTGCATAATAGAGAAAGAAATTGAATTCGCCATGTGGATTTCCTTAACGTAGCCTAGTAAAGGATTTAAGGTCCACGAAGGAATGGATGCTTTGCGTCGTCAAGAATTTGCTGGCTACATCACCTAGTGATTGATTGATTGATGAAGATTAAGCCACCTAAGAGGTGGCACGGGCATGAATAGCCCGTAAGTGGTGGCCCTTGTGAGCCATTACCAGTATCAAGAGCTGATACTGGAGATCTGTGGAGGTGCGGCTGCACCCTGCGTGACGGGAGATGTCTCCCCCGTCATCACCTAGTCCTCCCAAAAGCCTTAAATACCCCATTTCCTTCGAGATGCTAAGGATGGCCAACACAGGACGAAGCCATATCTCCCAGGGTGACCTCAAGACAGGAAAGTATGTGCGCTATTAGGATCGACCGCAACAAGGATATAAGATTCAAATTCAAAATTCAAATGTTTATTTAGGTATGATGGGTTGTATAGTGTTTATAAGTGCCTTATTTATTGTCCTAGGCTTAAAACATGTGTCTACGTTAAAGAACATGTGCTACCTGGCACGATTGGGCAACTAATCCCCCCTTTTCACCCAGCAATAACGGGAGACGTGGTTGTGAAATAACCCATATGCCACCTCTGTCCAGTACTATGTTAACTAGTCCAAATCTTTCTGGAATCCTTAAATTAAAAAAAAACACCTCATTTATGTGGAAATAAGTCAACGTATCGTTAAATAGACGTTTGACAGCAATAATTAAGGTACAGAACACCTGTGTGCCCAAGTGAAATGGTGTATCTTCTACACTCTCACCCACATACACCTGGTCACCCACATACACCTGGTCACCCACATACACACCTGGTCACAACACACACCTGGTCACTGCGGATAGTCCTGCTTGCAAGCTCCACTCAACAGCAGATACATAGCGAGTATCTTCAACACAGAGCTCAGACCATTTGGTCACCATTTGGTCCAGGAGACATCTCCCGTCACGCAGGGTGCAGTCGCACCTCCACAGATCTACAGTATCAGCTCTTGATACTGGTAATGGCTCAAAAGGGCCACCACTTACGGGCTATTCATGCCCGTGCCACCTTTTGGTTGGCTTAATCTTCATCAATCAATCAATCACAGAGCTCAAATACATCGTTCGGTGCTCGTCAGTAATGAGTGTCGGGAAGGTTACATTAATTAATTTAAATACGTATGGTTATATCTGCCACTACGGCTCTCTTGGTAGGTTTAGGTGCTGGCAGGTAAGTCTCCGCAACTATATAGACTTATATCCGGAACTATATATGTATATATATATCCGTTCCTTATTTTATATGTTCGTTGAAGTTCAAGTAAGTTTATTGAGACAAGAAAAAAAATACATCTCAAAGGGATAGAGTAGATTAGGCTATTTCTACCCCCACCCCCTCCACTTCAAGTCCCTCAAGGGGCGTACAAATTCAGTGAGTACAAATACACAAATATGTTCGTTCCGGAACTCTATATCCGGAACTATATGTACCTCCTGAACGGAGGTACAGTTCAACAGGAGTCACGACTCGAGTTCAAGCCTAAAGGTCGCATTCTCATGCTTTTGTGTGGTAACACTGACTCATCGGCTGTATTCTCCTTTTGATATGGTTTTATTTTATTTACCTGAGGGGTGGTCCCCCTCAGGTGGCCTCGAAGAGGACAGGAAGCTGGCGGTTTGTCAAAGGTCACTCCATTTGTCCTATCGAGCTGGATTTTTAAATTCAGCAGTGCTTTGGTATTTGCGGATAGGCGGTTAAACCTATGGGTTAAAAACATGTTTTTTTTCCGTCCAGCATTGTGGTTGGTTGAGCTTGAAGTCGTTGCTCCTTGTTTGTGTTACATCTGACCTTTTGAAGAAGTTGTTAGGGTCAATATCCTCCAAATTGTTTAGTATTTTAAAACTTTCTCTGATATCCACCCCGTCATGTCTGTTTTACCATAAATCTTAGTGTCATAAAAAAATCTAAATGTTTATTCAGGTAAAAGTACATACACAGTAGATGAGTTACAAACATAATGTTGGTTTAATAGATAGAGCTAGTACATACCATACCTAAAACCACTAATACGCACGGCGTTTCGGGCAAACCGTTATGAAAATTTATATAAAAATTTAATGATGTGGTTTGTGATATTGTCATCTGTCATTGCAGTATATGACAAAAAGGATTGGCCCCCCCCCCCCTCAAGCTTGCGGTACCCCCACTCACCACATTTTCTCCATTCAGATTCATTTCCGTTTAGAATGATCCTTTGCATTCTTTGTTTTACCCCTTGTTTTACATTATCTAACACAGTGCACAGTTACAAACCCATTAAGATTTCAACCTAGATTCAACAGAGCAAAAGTTGTTGTTAAACACGTGGGACAAAATCTTACTGAAGCGACCATACAAGTCATAAATACTCATACTCCGCCCAAGTAAAACAGAAACAAGCAACACTTAGTGGGCCAGCCAGAGGCTTAGGGCCCGCGCAGGAATATCCCTGCAAAAAAAAAAAAAAGGAATTGAGAAATGAGAAAGAGTTGGGAGTGGATATAATTCCAACACTAACACTGGACGCACATATAAATAGGAGTAATATAGGCAGCATATGGGATGTTGCCAAATATAAGAACATTGTTTAGAAACCTAAATTAGGATTCTTTTAATGCAATCCACACATTTGTTAGACAAATACTGAAATATATAATACCGATATGGAATCCACACCTTATGAAAAGTACTGTATAAAGGTTTCCAACAAGATTGGTGCCAGCACTAAGAGGGTTAAGTTATGAAGATATACTAAGAGAACCTTAGTATATCCTCATAGCAAACCTCACAACCCTAGAGGATGGAAGGAACAGAAGGGATATGATTACAACATACGACATACTGCATGAAGGGAATAGATAATATGAACAAGGACAGTCTCTTAAAATTGAGAGAAAGTAGGGCAAGAGGACACAGGTGGAAGCTGGAAACGCAAATGAACCAAAGGATTGTAAACAAAATACTTGTACCCTGTATGGGTAGTCGACAGGTGGAATGAACTGAAAGAAGTTGTAAAATCTAAAGTTGTGGAAGCCACCTCCATCCTCAACTTTAAGGCCAGATTTGACAAAGAATTTGAATGTCAGAATAGTTAAATTGTAATGCAACAGGTACAACAAGGGTAGCAGGCGGGACATTAAGAGTTATAGACCTCACGCCCCAAGACATTGTCATAACAACTAGTTTTAAACCTGCGAGACATAAAAACTGTGGCGGATGGTAAGAGAGAGAGACAGTATATCATGATTTCCCACGATATACTGATGTATAGGCTCCAGAGTCTATTGAATAATATCATATCTACATTTAAAGCAGTTACTAGGACCAACCCCCAACGACTGAAATAATCGTAGATAAGTTGATGGAGACGTTGAGCCTAACAGGAAAATAAGAACTGTGTTGGATAGGAGAAGAGCAGCATACTTGGTGTGTGAAGCGACCAACAACACGACGCTGGCCAACACTTCCAGAAAACTTCCTGCAAACTGCACCTACCATCAAGAAGCAGAGAAGACGCTGCTGGTTTTTACCCTCTGCCCTGGTAACTTATATTACCGCCACTAATTTTGCCATAGTCGTACTGTAAATAATATTATCTGTCTGCCCGAAACGCTTTGCGTAATAGTAACTTTAGGCATTGTATGTACTAGCTCTATCTATAAATCTATAAATTTTTGTAAAACCTCCTGTATGTATGTACTTTACCTGAATAAACATTTATTTATTATTTATTTATTAATATAAATCTGCCCGAGACGCTGTGCGTACTGGTGTTTTTTTTTTTTTTTTGAGATATATACAAGAGTTGTTACATTCTTGTACAGCCACTAGTACGCGTAGCGTTTCGGGCAGGTCCTTAATCCTATGGTCCCTGGAATACGATCCCCTGCCGCGAAGAATCGGCTTTACAAGAATGTAAACACATTATGCTATGTACTCTCACAACCCAATGTAACTTCTTGTATATAAGTAAATAAATAAATTACATTGCACGTTACCACCCACGCACATTTGTAGTGATGTAGACAGCCTATAGTGTAATCTTCATTAGGGGGTCATTTATTACAATGGTCTACGCACTTGACTCACAATCGAGGATCACTGATTTGATATCCGGACAGAACAGAAATGGCTGGGCATTTTTTTCTTTCACCTAATGCACCTGTTCACCAGGCAGTAAATAAGTACCTGGGAGTTGGGCAACTGTTGTGGGTTGCATCCTGGTGAAGTTAAATAAATTCCTTACAGTTTTTATAATTTGTAAAACATTTAAATTTCACCATATGTACTTTTATGTATGCTGATTAAGGATATGTAATTGGTTATAATACTTAAATTCTAATAAGTCATTGTATTCATATAATTACAAAATGTAATTTATAAATTATAAAAACAGTTCTTATTTTAACCATAATTTCTGTATGCAACTTCAGCCCCTTTTATAACTATGTAATGTATATTTGTATGTGTATGTACTATACATATGACTGTACAATTTCTTACTGTATTTCAATGCAGGTAACTGAATTCAGTCAACTACAGAATTAAGTCATCACGCACAACTTGTCACACTTTTATAATACTGTACCAGTAGTTATTGAAGAAAGGCATCATGAAGAATTGTTTTGTTCCATTGTGGAAAGCAGGCCAAAGACCTGTTGGAAATTGAGCAGCCACTTTCTCAGGAGTATTTTGATAACTGTCTAAATAATTAACCCTAACCTAATCTAAAGATTGCAAAAATGATTTATGTAGGCCTATGGGGGTACTTCTCCAGTATTTGAATACTGTACGACAGGCCATACAAGATCAGTTATTGTACAATGAGATGAGGTACCTCAAAGTACCCAGGTCTCTCTCTTCCCTCCCCTCTCTCTGCTCCCTTCCTTCCAATCTCCATCTACGTTTTCCCCCATCTCACTCTCCCCAATTTCCTCCTTTCCCCATATCTCCCTGCCCCCTCACTCTATAATCCCCCTTCCCCCTTTCTCTCCTTCCTCTTCCCCCCTCCCTGATCTACCCCTGTCCCTCCCTCCCATCTCATCTCCTCCCCCTCCACTCTATAACGGCAGTTGATTGTAAAATTTTAATTTTATAAATTGATTAAACAAAGTCATAATTAGTTGTATTTGACATGCTAAATTCATACATTTTGGACAGGGCTCAATCATAATAACCGCTGTATGTTTTTTCATAGCTTTCATGAAGAGATTCTCACTTGGTAAGTTATTGGCAATTAAAATATTAACAATATTACTGTACCTTATAATATCTGGCATGCAAGAAAAATTTACTTTATAAAAGTATAACTATTGGTGTTGCTTCAGTAGGTGTTTGACATTGTGGGTTTGCAGGTCACAAATAGCAATAACCGGACTGATCAAGTGGTCATTATGGAAACCTGGGGCCAGATTCACGAAAACACTTATGCAAACACTTACGAACCTGTACATCTTTTCTCAATTTTTGGCGGCTTTGTTTCCAATTATTAAACACTTAATGAGCTCCAAAGCACCAAGAGGCAGTTTATATCAATAACAACAGTTGAATGGGAAGTTTTCATGCTTGTAAACTGTTTAATAAATGTAACCAAAGCCGTCAAAGATTGAGGAAAGATGTACACGTTCGTAAGTGCTTGCGTAAGTGCTTTCGTGAATCTGGCCCCTGGTCTTAGGCAAGAGTAGAAAAAGTCAAAATGGGTCACTGGTAATTTTTTTTTTATTGAATCATCTGTATATTCACCAAGTTACAAAAAGGGAGATTAATTTAAGATAAAGTATATTGCACCTTTGATATATTTTTGTCTTTTCAAGTGGTTGAATAAAAATGTTCTTGTTTACTGTTAATTAAATGATGATTATATGTGATTATTTTGGACTTATTTTTACAGCAATACTTCAGTACTGTAGTTGGACTTATGAAATCTGTTTAACAGTATCTTGGATTTTTTTGAGTTATTTCATTATTATAAAGCTGTTTATACCCTCCTAGTTAGGTATCCAAGCAGAGATACTTTAATTTCATCATGTATATTCTTCCCTGTGGCATGTTTCTGTTCCATATCTCGAGAACTTCATTGTATTGATTTAAAATTTTGATACAGTACAGTAACACCTAAGTTTCAATGAAAGGGTATGACTGTTGTTGAAAAGGAATAAGAGCTCCAGAGTGCTACTACCATAGCAGTTTTGGTTTCTGTAATCTCTTGATCATAAAAGTAAGGTACCTTTTGTTATTTGGTAGTGTAGCTCAGTGACAGTATATGGTGCTTGGTGCTTCCCTTCGCATGCAGTTTTATGAGTATATGAAGCACTCCGTATTGAAAGAGGAATTGCGGTATACAAACAGGATTATGATACTGATACAGTATATGATACTGATACAGTATATGATACAGAACTGTTGTGCTCAAAGCAACCAAATACAGTATCAGGTATACTTATTTAATTAATTTAATTTATGTCTGTCTTTCTTTTGCACTTGGGCAACTCTGACTTTAATGTATAATATGAATTATTGAGTGTTTCCCATTAATCAAGTCTGGAAATACATTATGACAGAGTAGGAAACATCTTCATTCAACTAACATTGTGTATCAATCATTATGGTAAACACATTCTGTGACTAAATTAAATTAATAAACTTGAGACAGTCCATAGTTTTAGCCTTATAGAAAACCCTGTCTATATATATGCACATATATGGACAACCCTGTCTATATATGCATATATATGGACAACCCTGTCTATATATGCATATACATATGGATAACCCTGTCTATACATGTCCTTGATGAGTTTTTAAATTTTAAACATTCAAATTATGATAACACAAATAATATTGATAAGTATTCATCCTGATCTCTTATGTGAGTGTTTTCAAAATCATTACAGCATCAGCATTCCGTCATGTTGGCTTCATGGGAATTACCATCTTCGTTGGGTTTGGACTGTATGGCATTTATGAATTCTTCTTTGGTTCCCTCCCTGTGCACACGGTTGAATTTTTCCAGGCAAATTCAACTGTTCCATTTCCATTTCAAGGTAAGCTATACAGTATACAGTATGTCTGTTTTATCTTTTGTTGTTCACATATATTTCTCTGTAGGCTAAATAGATTTGAACTTGTGCTTAAAGTTTACTTCCATACCTGAATACCAGCACTGAAGATTGGGGACCCAAGTTTATTAAGGTTGTGAAATGTTTATGGTTGGCTGTTTTCTAGCCAAGCACAAATCCCTTCTAGAGAGTACAGTGGACTCCTGCTCATATGGAATTACAGTATGTCTGCTGGAAAGCCAAAAGCAACAGATGGATTCCATTTCAGTAATAAGAGCACTATGATCGGTAGACTGGTAGAGTGAGCCAATATTTTCCCTAGATCAGAATTTACTGCGGAATATGTAAATGAAAAATTAAAAAAATATATACAGAATATAAATTTCCCAATAATTTTAGTATTAAGATGTGTGTAAAAATATATAATTCTATTAGTGACACTAGAAAAACATATGGATGTTTTATAAAGTAGTAAATACACTGTAATGGCAAACTTTTCATGCAAGAACAATTCGTTGAGCATTGAAAGGCCCAGTACAAATGTGTCCATTCGAGTACAAGTACGCTCTACTCTTGGAAATTCTTAAATTATTTTTGACTGACCTTAACCCCTGAACTGCACACCTGTTTGTGGCAAAAACTTCATAGTGTAATTGTTAAGGACATATTTTTCTTGTGTTTATAAATGTTCAGGTAAAGTTACTGTCAAAATGTTTCCAAACTCAACTATTTTAATTTCAAAACACAAAGACTGATGAAAACATTAAAAAACATTAAAATATAGCGTAATTATAAAAAATGCACACCTCTCAAAACGACATTTGTTGTTTGGTGCAGTGCAGGGGTTAAGGAATGTTTAGACGTTTGATCATTATGCAGTAGTGTCTCTCTTCTTACAGTATTCTAATGCAAGAGAAAATACTGTGGTTTAGTATTGTCATTGTAGTGAATTTTACTGCAATGTTATCGATCTAGATTTGTCTATTACCAGTACTGTATATTCATATTCATAATCTTCTCATCAAAAATGGCAGTACCTTTGCTACAGGCTAGGAAACAATAGCTTAATTCAGTACAGTTGTTAATTTTCATCAGTAGGTGCTATCCTTGCCAGAAATATCCATGAGACCTGGTAAATGATGCTACCAAGCATCTGGCATCTATACCAACACTTTACCTTTTCCAATCTATTCCTCAGACATTATCTTCATAATCCACTAGCTCAAGACCCAAGTTGTGAAAAAACTAGTGAAATACAGTACCAACCATGACATACAAAAAGACTGTTCAAGTACTTGCACCAGCCAGGGAAGCCGGTCGGCTGAGCGGACAGCACGCTGGACTGTGATCCTGTGGTCCCGGGTTCGATCCCGGGCGCCGTCGAGAAACAATGGGCAGAGTTTCTTTCACCCTATGCTCCTGTTACCTAGCAGTAAATAGGTACCTGGGTGTTAGTCAGCTGTCACGGGCTGCTTCCTGAGGGTGGAGGCCTGGTCGAGGACCGGGCCGTGGGGACACTAAAGCCCCGAAATCATCTCAAGATAACCTCAAGATAAGCCATTGCTTTGTCTTTCAGCAAATCTCTTGACTCATTAACCTTCCCTGATATATTAAAGAAAACAGACAAACTCCAGTGTACACAAAGTAGGTAATACAGCTGACATAAGCAATTATAGGCTGATATAATCTACTAGCCTGATATAGGCTAGTAATATTATAAAAAATACTTGAACATATTTTTATTGTAAAAATTCCATAATGAAATAAGTCATTTGATCTAAGACAGACTTGGCTTGAATGAACTAAAATAGAGTACATGTGGTATTTGACACATACTGTACTGCCATCTATGGGTTGACGTCAGCACATCAATTTACAAGATCAGTTTTTAGCTGTACCGTATTATATTGAAAACTTCCATAATTTCAAGTTAAAGTTTTATCTCAAGGTATCAGCTACCACCTAGAAATGCTTTATTTTTCTTTTGACAGTTTTAAAGTAATCTTGGAGAGAGAGAAACTACTATTTCATGCTTTTCCCATACATTCCCCCCATGATACGGAGTTCTTGAATTCCTTAAATTTAGTCATTGACATATTATTTCTTCAACTACTGTAGTGAGCACACAGCTGATGTGATCATGAAAGGGAATTGTGCAAGGCTACTCTAGCCCTATCCTACTGTCCCTGTATACTCATTCATATATGTGTGACATTTTAATTCACATTCCTCAAACTCTTCCTGTGTGCATATGATATAAGAGCTTCAATAGGAAGGGATGTTTAATAATATACAGTTTACTGCTTTCAGACCATGGAGAGAGGATAGTATCTCAGTACATGCAGATTGGAGAGATACTGCCAAACTGTGGTCTCGATTATGTCTGTCCACACGATCACTTCCCCGTTCACATATATAGTGGGAAAAGCAAAGATGATATGCCCAAGATATGTGTGTCAGGGAAATAGTAAGTCTTTAATACATGATTTTTATTGACACATTTCAATATGTGTTTTTATTTTTTTAATGTTTTGCTTTGTCTCATAAATTGTGAGAAATATAAAAAAAAATTAGTTTGGTAACTGTTTTCATTATTCTTTACTGTACAGTATTTTTTAAAAGCTTAGACCCCCTAGGTTGTTTCCTTTTGCATTAGTGGCTTATATGGGTCTACACAGGGACATTATACCCACCAAGCTTTAATAACTTCTTCACCGACTAGACCACTATCTTTTCAAACTGTCTGGTCGAGAGGTGTACTGATGTACTGCTAATGTTGGTCAATTCTGGAGTTGTTATGGTTATTGCATAGGTTCTTCTGATCCTCGATGACCACACCTGCCTCTGTACTTGAGTTGGGTACAGGGCCTGTTTCTCTATTTTTGTAAACATTGATGGTTGTGAACTTGAATCCTGTGATTCCCCAGATTTTGTTGGCTGCTTGTCATTCAGCTGATATAAGTACTGTTGGTTCCCTTCCCTTCCCTTTTGTACTTTTGGTTTTGGCTCTAGAGCACTTTGTAACAACCTTTTCTCTTCTGGCAGCTCCTAGGCTTGTTTATTTGGAGACCTGGAAGCTGAAGTTTTGGGGTCTTTCTCTTTCCGTGAGGTTGTGTTCAAAAGTGAAGATGCTTTCCTAGGACATTCAGCCCCCTGTTGCGGTGAGCCTGTCTTTCCTCTGACTTGGTCTCCTGTTTCGATTTGGGATGTATCTCCTGAACCAACTTTTAAGGCTGTCCACTCTTTTCTTTTCTTTTTTCTTAGGGAAAGTGATGAGGCTGTCTTTTCAGGGTTCCTATTTAACTTTTTTTGGCCCTTGTGTTCACACCAGGTGTAACCTTCCTTACGATTGGGTTGGTGCTTTACCCACCATCCCAGTTTATAGTAATTTTCTCCTTTGCTAACCATTAAGTTTGATTCTTCGTCCTGCATGTAAGAGACATATTTTATCAGCTCTGCTGTTCTTCTGCTTGTCCTCCTCGTCCATTGAGGTGGAACCCCGCTCAATGGGCCTGTTTGGTGTGTGACGTTTCTGCCTCCTCTGCAGGTTGTGGCCTCTTCCCAGCTATTCTCTTACACTTTGGTTACGTGTTGTCTTTTGGTTACGTGTTGTCTTCCCTGGTACTAATTATTATTTTTGTTTTAGCATGATTTTGTTCCGCTTGAGTTGTCATGGTGAGTGAACAAGTCATTTGAGCCTTGCAGGCAGAATATGTCTGTAGACCTATATAAGCTGCTGGCTCAAGAAAATAACTTGAGGGATCATTTCAGAAAGGAGCATTTCATTTCACTAAATGCCCTATTTTTTCTTAAGTGTTATCCAGAGAGATATAAATAATGGTGGACGAGGCATGAACATGGTAGTTGTCGACTCTCATCGAATGAAACCTGTAAATGCTCGCCGCTTTGATACCTATGCAATGGACTCGAGTGAAATGGAACTGTTTCTGTTACGGGAGGTTCGAGAGGGAGACATTCTCATTGCGATGACGTTTGATGAAGCCTCAAGAAACTTAGGCGCCATGGCCAAGAGTTTACTTGCTGATCTAGGTACAGTCCATTTACTATATGTAACTGAATAGACACATAAAGCTTTGTAATTTAAAACCTTTAGGAGTAGCAGAATTAATTTATTTTCTCGTTTAGTTTTCCTGATACAGTATGTAATATTTGCTTTTGTCAACTTCAAGAGGTTAAAATTTGTTATGTACTACTACTCTATACTTTTAGGATGTGATTTAAAATAGAGAAACGAATTGAAAGTTTGTATTAGGGTAAAAAATATTTTTTTACCTTCCTATGCAAAATGTTTTAGCAGATAAGGCAGCAATTCTTTGTCATTTAGAGGTTAATGTTGAATCAGTTCACCATTATATATGGTAGCTTCGTAGGCAGTACTGTATATACTGTATGTACATTCTCATGTAGTATTTTCAAAGTGTAAAATAATGTTTAGGCTCTGGTTTGATTTCATATTTACAATATTTATTTGTCATGAACATTCTGGCTATCCTACAAGTTCCAGTTTTTGCTGAAAATAGAATAAATAGATCCTCTGTAAAGATCTTGAAATAACATTGAAGAGTGTATTTCCTTTCTGATCAACAGGTAGTAGTCAGATTCAAAATCTGCAATTCCGAGGTCAGTGGTTCATGATCTCTCAGCGAGGGATGAAGGGCTTCTCTCCTTATGAGATTCTAAAGGCTTCCAAAGGTGGACTGTGGTCTCCGATTGATGAGCACACATGTGTTCCTCGCCAGTGTAAGTTTACTGCAAAGAATTTTTTTTTAACTAGCCAGCATATGATTTACTGTTTCAGTTACTGACCCTGTAAACTAGAGCTAGAGTAAATTACATTTGTTACAGTTACAATTTTATCGAGAAGTATAAACCAATGAATTTAGTATCTTCATTTTCCTGTTCAGTGTTTTGTGGTAGTCATACATCTACGATATATGGGTCTTTATTGATTTTTTCATTATTTCTTTGCAAAGTCACCTTAATATAGGTGATCTTTATATAATTCTATTACAGTGGAATCTTGATTCAACAAACCGTGTTCCGGTGAGTCTCTGGTTGGAACACACACTTTCCTTGCCAGATTTAATCACCTGATTCAATGAACAAGAGATTGCTGAAGTAGATGTGTGGATTTGCTTAAAATGTTAAGACTGAATTCATAGTGGCAAGATTTGAAGAAATAGTTGGACCTTGGCAAAGCCATTGAGCATACAGTATTTAAAACCAAATTCTATGGTTCATTTTAATTTTGAGATTTCCCCACTTTTCATTCACTAATATGGGTCCATTTTCCTTTGAAAATGAGATTTCAAGACTAGAGCATAAGAAAAGTACTAGGTACTGTATAGATAAATCTCCTAACAGACAGGTTCTCTTGGTAGTTGTCCAAGATATGACAGGTTAAAATAAAAATTTTGCTTGGTAAAATCAGCTTTTAGACTGTGGGAAATATTAGGATATGACTGGTAACTATTAATATGCTCCATTCACAGTTTTGATGATTTTTGTAGATGGACTCAACATTACAAGAAACAGCTTGAGCCTTGAGAAAGCTATTTAGGATATTTAAAACCAAATTTTATGGTTTGTTTTTATTCTAAATTGGCAAGGTTTTAGTTCACTTAGATAAGACCCTGCCACCTTTTGAAAATGAATTTTGAGGCTGGGATCATGAGAAATACCTAAGTTAGAGGTGGTTAAATTTTTTTGAAGATATGTTTATTTGATAGTTGTATATTATAGGTTAAAAATAATTTATTGCTAAATGAAATCAGCCCATAGGGCATGGAAAATGCATCTTGGAGGTATCTTTGGTTGCATTGAATTCCTCGCTGCAACGAATTGGGGTTGGTCCCATATAGTTCGTTGAATCGGGTTGTACTGTTCAGGTATAATTTCAAAAGGATTTAATAACGCATTGGTATAGGTTTTGTATGCATTAACACAGTAAATAAATAATCTTGGTATATTTTTGCACTAATGCTTTTTATAGTAATTATGCTGTATTTTCCTCTGCATACAACACGTATAAAAGCTGAGCATCAAGTAAGGCGATCATTCAAAAATATATTGACTGCATTTTTCATTGACTGTTATGCTAATGTGATGTTTATACATACATCACTTTGCTTTATATTGAAGCATTATTATTATATATATATTTCTAACAAAAACATTTCTTACCAGTGAAAGGACGCATCATCATGCCTGATCCAAAAGTAATGCAGAATGATGCTCGGTCAAAATTCTGTGAACAGCATTCCTACATCTCCGATTTTTGTTCGGGTGGGTATGTTTGGTTTGATTTTTTTGCCATTACTGTTAGATATTGTTAAACAAGATATTGTACAGTATATCATATATAGACTGAATAAAATATAAATTTAGTATCAAAGAACTTAGATAAAAATCTTTTGAAAATTCTTTCATCGAGGTTATTTACTTATACAAAGTCTTCATTGAGCAGTTTTCTTCACGCCTTTGATTTTACAAGGACTCGGCAATTTCAGGAACAATTGTTTTGGCTGTGTTGGGTGAACTTATCCTCTCGAATAAACATCACATTTTATCAAAATACCCAATGGACTATAAATCCATTGGCTTTATGGATCCATTCTTATATGATATGCTGTAAATCATAGCAGCTCACAAACAACCATGTTTTCCATGAGTGGGTACATCGGTTAGGTTAGGTTTGGGCATTTTAGTACATTATTTTTGTGACATTGTGACAACTCAAGAGGATGGGCTGGTTGGCTTATCATTGCTAATGTTAAAGGTATTGAGATAAATATAAAAGGTTGTTACTATAGTATAGTATATTATATTTAGATATTTAGCAAGTTTTTTTTTTACCATATTCTGGTGTGTGTTTTTTCTTTTAATTTCTGACTAGAATTTGCACTTGTGTATGCATGCACCTGGGACTAACTGCTGGTGACTGCATTTGATCTAAGGGGAATTGGTGATTTGCATAACAAGACATGAGGCTTCTGTGTTTTGTATAGGCTGAATGAGATATGGATAGAGTTGTTATTGAAAATAAGGAAACAAAGACGGGCATCTCCTTCTCAGAGAGAACAGACTGTCCCAGTCTGGCGTCAAGATGGACTGACAGTCCCGGTTATAGTCTTTTTTTCAGAAAAAGGAAATTATGACCAACTCAGTCATCTGTCCCCAACCATTTAGGGTGGACGGTAGAGCGACAGTCTTGCATCATGCAGGTCTGCGTTCAATCCCTGACCTTTCAAGGGGTTGGGCACCATTCCTTCCCCCTCTGTCTCTTTCCAAATCCTAATCCTGACCCCTTCCAAGTGGTATATAGTTGTCATGGCATAGCGCTTTCTCCTGGTAGATCCCTTCCCTTCCCTTCGGTCCTCTGTCCTTGCATTAAATATAAGTGAAATATGTAATTGAAATTACATGTGCAATTGAAGACACTGGAAATAATTAATATTTAATTTTTCCAAATTAAATGAGATAAGTTGTAAATAATCTAATTAATGATGCTTTGGTCATCTTCAGCCACATTATTGTGACTCGTTGCTTGTGCCTGAATGAAAAATTAATAATATTGAAACTAGAAAAATATAATAATAATAAATTGAATGAAAGTGAAGGAAAGACCCAATACTCTCTGTATAAATCTATTAAAAATTTTTTTTTAGGATGTAATCTACATTCTTTCTCAAGGGGACTGTATACAATGTTCTGAACAAGATTGTCGGAGTTTGCATTTATAAATCTGGAAAGGCGCCTCGCTTGGTATCCATCATTAGATGGATGATGTACGCTTCCCCAAGGACATTGACATTTCAGAAGAATGCTCAATTATCCTGATTTCTGGGAACTGTGGGCAGGGTTCCATGTAACAGATACATTTTATAATTTTAATTTTTCTATTGAGCAGGAGCTGGAACTTGGCTTTATTAAATATCATGTTTTTTTAGTGGCCCATTGAAAGACCAGTTTAACTTTCAGTTTGAAGGTTTTCTGTGTCCTCTATATTGTTAACTCGTGAAAATCCTTGTGTCATCTGCAAAGGATGATACAACACTGTAGATTGTGTCCTTGTCTGTTCGATAGGACATTAAAGACAAGTGCTCCTACTTTGTAAGTTCAGTAATTCTTTTTGTGCACATTTATCAAATGCTTTCACAAAATCTGTGTATACTGTATTACATCAGCATTTTCTTTGTCTTCCAAGGCATCTAAGGCCATGTCATACTGGTCTAGCAATTGTGAGAAGCAGGAGCGCCATATTTTGAACCCGTTGTCCAGGGTTATGTAGACTCTGTGATTCAATGTGTTTTGTGATTTACTTTTTAGCACTCTTCCAAAGGTTTGTTATGATGTGTGATATTAGTGATATTGGTCTACAATATTTTGCCTTGGCTTTACTACCTACTTTGTGGAGTGGCGCGATCTCTTGAGACACAAGTTTATAAATAAATCTAATCATTACTAAGTTTATGTATATTTATCAAATTTAGAAGAACTACTGTTTGTGTTTTTTTAATAGAATATAGATCAAATTCACAGGTTGCTAGTTCTAACTTTTCAAACTAATTAGCAAAGATATGCTCATATTTGCTGTTCATTAATATGTTATGCCATTCAGTAATTCTTGATATGATCTTTTTGTTGTAGTACTGTATTTTGATTGTTAATGATGTAATTGGTTTGTTATGGCCTCAACAGTTGATCAGCGGAATGTGCCTCTCAAACCTGCCATATTGACAAACCGACAACTAGTGGGTAGTGCAATGTTTATGACTCCAATTATGGTGGTTGCTGGAGAATCTCTCTCGTCATTGACGCTCACATTAGAAACCATTCTAAGCCAACCCGGAATACAGCCACGGTACGTGGTTGTGGTGTATAATCCCGAAGTCATCAAAGATGTAACTCAACTGTGTCAACTCTTTGGGTTTAATGCAAAAGCCACCAGTGAGAAGAAATACTTTAGTAAGTGTTAAGATTCTTTGAATGCTTATTGTATTTTTTATGTCACTCTTGACATAAAATACAGTACAGTTATATTGAAATACAGTACATGCTCTGTGGAGACATAACTTGCAGTGCCTTATTTGAAATCAATTGGTTAAGAATGTAACAGATAATAAAATCCAAAGGTACATTAACAATGATGCAGTTACCTTATCATGGACGAAATGATATAAATATGCATAATAGCTCCAAGGTTTAGCATGTTGATGGTATAATGTTCATACTGCTTCTGCTACTGCTGTTGCAACAGCAGTAGCAGTGCCCTCCGTGTTGAATTCGTTCATCGTTCATAATACAACCACATAGTAAGCAACCAGACTTAAGTAGTACTTTTTGACAGTCATGTAGTGGAACTGCTTGTAGAAGTACTACTAATAGTAATGCAGGCGATGAGTCACAGTAACGTGGCTAAAGTATGTTGACCAGACCACACACTAGAAGGTGAAGGGACGACGACGTTTCGGTCCGTCCTGGACCATTCTCAAGTCGATTGTAATGAGGAAGTAGAGACAGGCAATAAATAGGCAAGAGAGAGCTGAGGAGCAAAGTAAGGTGTAGTAGAGGGGATAGTAATAATAATAATAAAAGCTGCAGAGGGCCTATTGCAGAGTAATGTTTAAATATCAGTGACTACAAGGGAAAAGAGATCTAGTTCTCGAACTCCCAATTCCAAGTACAGAATTAATACAATCTTTGCTCAGAAATCCAATCAGGAGAGGTTAGAGGCATTAAATATGCCAAAACTGGAAGATAGAAGAAAAAGAGAGTGATATGATCACTACGTACAAAATAGTAACAGGAATCGGTGAGATTGATAGGGAAGAATTCTTGAGACCTGGAACTTCAAGAACAAGAGGTTATAGATTTAAACTAACTAAACAAAGCTGCTGAAGAAATATAAGAAAATTTAATTTGGCAAACAGAGTGGTAGATGGTTTGAACAAGTTAGGTGAGAAGGTGGTGGAGGCCAAAACCGTCAGTAATTTCAAAGCTTTATATGACAGTGCTGGGAAGACAGGACACGAGCGTAGCTCTCATCCTGTAACTACACTTAAATAATTACATGTGGCTTACACCCCTTCCAGTTAACTGAATTTCTTACCAGGAATATCCAAAAATTGAACTTATTTGCAATTGTTTGCACCTTATAGTATAGGGAGCTGGTCGGCCAAGCGGACAGCACACTGGACTTGTGATCCTGTGGTTCTGGGTTCGATCCTAGGTGCCGGCGAGAAACAATGGGCTGAGTTTCTTTCACCCTATGCCCCTGTTACCTAGCAGTAAAATAGGTACCTGGGTGTTAGTCAGCTTTCACGGGCTGCTTCCTGGGGGTGAAGGCCTGGTCGAGGACCGGGCCGATACTGTACTGTCAAATTTGTTAATTCTTATGATACTGATCAGCCATTGTTATACTATTCAGTACTGTATATTACTGTCTGCCTTTCATGAAATAGGGCAAAGTATGCAAAATTTAAATCTTACAAGTATGCATGTGCTTGACTGTACAGTGTAAAGTGGTTATGCATTATTCACTTTGTAAACAACCTGCTTTTTATCACAGATTTGAATCTTTAAGTTTAGATTTAATAATAATATCTTTTTATTATTATTATTTCAGGGATAATGGCAGTGGTATTTGAAACTGCCTTTGCTCTTTTTCCTGGGTCATCTTATGTGACAGTGATAGAGGAAGGCTTACTCTTGGCCCCAGACTTTATGGCATATTCTGCGAGTGTTTTGCCCCTTCTGCACGACCCGACCATCATTGCTATCTCTGCTTGGAATGCAAATGGTGAGCTTATGAATAACTGAAGTAGTACTGAAATTTGTTATCCAAATTTGTAATGTTATGCATTTTACTGTGGCATAAAATAGTATAAAAATCTAAATTTTTTATTATTTTTAAATTCCATAAAAGATTTGAAAGATAGTACTTTATTTGAGGCCTCGGCGATGACCGGGCCGCGGGGACGCTAATCCCCGAAACCAACACAAGGTAACCACAAGGCAAGGTAATCTTATCAATACTGTACAGTAGTCCTAAATTTATATTTGATCTTTTTAGAGAATAATGTTTCTCACTGATATTATGTTGATCATTTATTCGGCTGCCACATTAAATCTTCTATAAAATATTGTTGCCAAACCAACCACCACTTGTAAAATAACAAAAGTGTGGTAGGTTTTAATTATCATTTGTTATTTAGTGGTTAGTAAGTCTAAATATTAGTAAGTCTAAATAATTAGTAATATAGATATATTAGTTAGTCTAAATATGTATAAATATATACTGTATTACTTAAAGAAAAACCCAGGACAATTTGATGATAAATCAAAAATTTGCAAATTTCCATTAGCTGGACTTTTGTGCAAATCCAGGTTCAGAATGATATAATCAAGATTTGAGAGGTGTCACTATACTTCATCTTTAGTAGATATAATACTGTACTGTACTGTCAAGTTGCTGGGTTCCCAGTCATGTTGGTGTTGTGTCCAATTGTAGGGGGCCTGACAGCTGAGTGGATAGCACTTCAGATTCATAGTCCTGAGGTTCAGGGTTCGATCCCCAGTAAAGGCAGAAACAAATGGGCAAAGTTTCTTTCACCCTGATGGTTTTGTTTACCTAGCAGTAAATAGGTACCTGGGAGTTAGACAGCTGTTACGGGCTGCTCCTTGGGGGTGTGTAACAAATGGGAGGCCTGGTCGAGGACTGGGCCGTGGGGACGCTAAGCCCAGAAATCATCTCAAAATAATCTCAAGATAAGAATCACCTCACAGACATGGCTACTGAAGAAACCGTTCCTGCCCGTCTCATCTCTCAAAATTATTAATTAACACTTTCGCGCTATCTGGACGCGCCGGCGCGTCCCGTTTCGTCTAACGCTAACGCATAGTGGACATAAAGTTGAGTCCTCTTTTAAAATATTTGTATAAAATTCAATTTTTATCCGATTTACTTTGGGTTTGTTTCAAACTGCGCGCTATGAGGCTCTCTTTCTCACCACTAGGCTGCATGGTACAATAAGTTCATGAAAGGTGTGGATAACTTCGATCAAATGGTATTTTGTCCCAAACGGGTTGCAGGTGGGTGACTTTAGCCGTTTATACTGGTAATGCTTCCCCCATATCATGTATTATATGCATATGTCTGTTTAGGGAATTTTATTCCGATCAATATACAACCAAAAATAACTGTGTGCAACAAGTATAAACTTGACAAACATAACAAAAGTAAAAACATTTCGTGTGTGTTTGACGCTCACTGATATGTTCCAGCGTTGTTTTATATTTGGCGCTATTCTAACTTACGCTTTGTTGATATTTTTTACCTATGGGCACATAGAACATTCTATTGCGAACACATTGACACAAAAATGAATGACGTACATAGAAAATTAATGTCATGAGAGTGAAATAAGTATAAACTTTCAAAGCGCCGTGCGTCGTCCCGTCACCGATACCGGGTAACAATTTCACCACTTCCCACACTCTTGCGGGCGGGCCGCATCATTATTCTACGCTTATATTCATATCACCGTGTTGGGAATTTCATTGCGAGTCCATTGATACCAAAATTAACGCTGTAGAATAAGTGTGGAGGTGATTACAATCCCAAGAGTAAAAACATTTTGTTGCTGATGGGCGCTCACGGCGAGTCATCTTCGTAGTTATTTATTTGGTGCTGGTATCCCTATACGTTTCGTGACTTTTTTTACTGATGTTCTTCTAGAGAATTTTATTGCGAACACGTTGGTACCAAAATGAAATACGTAGCATGAGAACTAAGGTCAGAAGAGTAAAAAGAGTATACACATTTTTGTTTTTACGCTTAAGCGATAAAAACGCTGCGCGCACATTCGGTTGGCTGAGTGACCTTTGCGGAAAGCGCGAAAGTGTTAAATGTTAAGACCTCTTTAATATTCTGTTAAAGACAATGCTGTATAGCTTTCCAGGTTTACCAGTTTGTTTTGATAATTAGCTAAAAGTTTTCTCTAAACTTATTTTAATCCGAATGTCTAATTTTCTTTTTTTGTCTTTTTAGGTTTCCCAAATGTGTCATCTCGACCAGATCTTGTATATAGAATTGAGGATTTTCCCGGCCAAGCATTCACTATACGTATGGCTACTTATATAAAGGAACTGAAGCCAAATATGAAAGAGTGCTGCAACAAACGGTAAACATTTGTTTGGATGATGCCACCAACTCTTAATAGAATATCTACTTACAATAATTAACCTGCACTTCTACAGCTTTGATGACATCTAAATTAAGATTTGGATGAGAAAATATATATATATATATACAGTATATGTTTAACTTACCAAAAACATTAAAATCACCATAAACTGTTGCAGCGGCTGGGAAGGATGGCTGGAGCTGGGTCGCTGGGAAAGGGAGATAGTGGTGCCAGATGTGTCCCGTGTGTTGCGACGTCCAGTGGGTACTGACCTTGAGCCAGTCACACCATTAATTCATGCACTCTTTCACCGTCTGCGTGCCACCAACTTGTGAGTTTGATGACGTTATTACTCCTGTCCAATTATATACTATACGTGTTTTTCAGACTGATCTGTGAAATGCTGAAGAGTGTGGGAAGAGAGACTGGACAGATAAGTTAATATAGACACACAAGAACTCTTAATTTCCGTTGACTTCCTTTCAGAGAGATGACATCACCACTCAGCAATGCAGACACCCTGACTGCTGAGCGATATGAAAATCATCTTGTGGAGCTGTTAAATTCCAGTCATGCCCATATGATCAGACTTACTAAGGAGGCAGTTAATGCATGTGCTTTAAATGAATCTATGAAAAATTTGAAACTAATTTTTGATGACAAGTAAGTGCCGTCATTTAAATATTTTTAGTTTCTATCATGTACACAAGTCATGTGTATAGCTCTTCGATTGCAGCATACTGGGTTCTGTACAGGTCTTGTGCAGGATGATAATATATGGAGTGAAGTCAGTTTTTATATCATTTTCACGTGGCCTGAAGAAGCATATTAGTACTGCATTAATATTTTGGAGATAAAAGGGCTTCAACTCATGTTTCCATAAACATTTATATATTGGATCAACTTTTGACTTGACGCAGGCAGTCAGTACATGTTGTTCCCTACAAGGAGCTGGACATAACGGGATTTGGGGGCATGAAGATCCTGTGTCGGTGTTTTGGACTGTTCTATGATGATCGCTCCACCCCAAGAGGGCTGCATCGCGGGTTGCTACGGTGAGTGAGGGACTGTTCTATGATGATCGCTCCACCCCAAGAGGGCTGCATCGCGGGTTGCTACGGTGAGTGAGGGACTGTTCTATGATGATCGCTCCACCCCAAGAGGGCTGCATCGCGGGTTGCTACGGTGAGTGAGGGACTGTTCTATGATGATCGCTCCACCCCAAGAGGGCTGCATCGTGGGTTGCTACGGTGAGTGAGATGTGGGGAATGGTTGTAGATAAATGTGGCTAAAGTTCTCCCACATTATTAGTAACAATTTCTATTATTAGATTTATGAATTTGTTAGAGAACTGTTAGAATGCTTGGCATTTTGTATTTTAACTCCTATAAATTAATCAACATGAATAGTGAACTCATCTTGACATGGGAATATTGGACAGATCACAGTTGTTACTTTACTGTATGGAGGAAGAACATGGCACCGAGTTGACAAAACTGTAAAGGTTTCAGCTGGACAGATATGAAAGCAGGAGCAATTGTGGGGGTAGTTATCCTTATAAAGGAAATCTACAACTAGCATCTGTCAAATACTAACTGAAGATAATCACATCTTGGCAGCTGAAATCCCCACCAGTCATGGCCCCATGGTCATTTGCACAGCTTACCTATCTGAGAGAGACTAGCAGGATGGAGGGCAAATAGTAGATAGAATCCTCAACAGTAACTGTCAACTTTTATAGTAGGTTGCCCCCTTGACCAGGTTCACCTCTACATGATCTGCCACCTCCTCCACCACACTGCCAGCTGCTCCACCTCCACCACACAGCCATCTACACATACACATTCACACAGATTGTGGTAATGTAGTTTTAAGAGTATATAATTGACTCCTGAGTTGCTTAGTATATGTACTTTGGAAAATATTGTTTGCATTGCGAGACGTATACTACCTCATTTGACTACGGGATCATCATATTAGCTCGGAACTTTTGTTCCGAGTAACTAAAGAAAAAAAAAAGTCTTAAAAATTACCTGGTTTCAGTACTATAAATGTCATTATGATTGTCATTAAAGGCTTTGAATTAAATTCTTTATAGGTTCAGCATGGAAGGAAGTGAAGTCATTTTCCTCAGCAATAGAAACCAACATTTTGTGATGCCGCCTTTCAATGCCACAACACTGAGTTTGCCATAATAATGAAGGCAAGTTATCATAATTTTACACTATTAATGCACAAGATTTTAACTACATTTTCTTAATAATGTTATTACTTATATTGCACATTCCAGTTGTAGAAATTTGGGTTTTCCCCCAAATTCCAACCTAAAAATAAATTTGAGTCTCATCATTTTAGTAATAGCTGGATTATTCCATTTTCTTAATACTATAATACAGTATAGAATTGATAAACCCTCATTTTCTTTTTTGGGGAATGAAGTGTGTGTGCCATTTAATTCCTGTATGTAATTAAATGTCAGTCTGAATCTCCCATGCTACAGAATTATAGAACCATCATTTAAAAGGTAGAATTTAGCATGAGGAGTCAATAATCCATTTTGTGAGGGGGCCCAGACTAAGTCCTTAATAATATGCACTACTGAATACTGGAAATGTATAACTATAAACCAAAGTAATGAACTTAACTACAGTATTATTAATACAGATATATATATATATGTCGTACCTAGTAGCCAGAACGCACTTCTCGGCCTACTATGCAAGGCCCGATTTGCCTAATAGACCAAGTGATTTTCTTTATTTTTAATAAATTGTTTCCTATTGGTTTATTTCAAATATTATTATTATATTATATTAAGAACATAAATTATTGATTATGTTAGTTTAGGTTTGGTTAAGATAGGTTAGGTAGGGTTGGTTATGTTCGGTGACGTTAGTTTTAACTCAAATTTAAAAAAAATTAGCTCATACATAATGAAATGAATAGCTTTATCATTTCATAAGAATTAAAAACTGAAAAATATTGAAATTCTGGAAAACTTGGCTTATTAGGCAAATTGAGCCTTGCATAGTTGGCCAAGAACTGCATTCTGGCTACTAGGTACAACATATATATATAATTTTATTGTGTGTTTTTTTTTTTTTTAACCCTGGAACTATTTCTAGATTTTATAACAATAGTAAACCACCAACAAAGCCAATGTTGCCATGGTGATATTTCATTGGTTGGCTCAGTAGGTGTAACCCAACCTTGCCAAAATTTAGGCCATTATCTAATGCTCTGCATGTACATGTCTTGAAGATAGTTTTTAAGGATAATTCCTGGGCTGTGCACTTAAATTTCCATAAAAACCTTTGTGTCATCGGAATGTTTACTGTCAGAGTATGGACGATTTATTTTTAGCATTATCAGAATGCAAAAGTGTTAAAATAGTTTTTCTAATACTGTATAATGTTCAGTACAATGAATAAATGGTATAATTTTAACAATTTATATCAGTACACAGTACTAAAATTCATGATTTCTGTATAAACATTGATTTCTTCTTCAATAGTACCTGACGGTCACCTGACCCCTCGGTAGTATCCTTGGTGAATCGGATACCTTTGATGTTCGCCTTACATACTTTTGTTCTCGTATTGGCATCTTTAACGCCTTTTGAATATCCCACACTTTGACGGTGCTACATAGCCTCCCTGGCTTGGTGCCTCCTTTTGATTATGTACTATTGAAGTAAGTAATTAACATTTAAATATTGCTTTCTTTTACTAAGCAACAAAAAAATTCATGACACTTATCCGGAAATATTTTATGCATCACTTTTCTGTGCTTATTTTATACTGGCAAGTTATCACTATCAGTAAGTAACTACTACTGCCATACTGCTAAATTTGATTCTTCTTATCTCGATCTTGGGGCTTTTTAGTGTCCCCGCGGCCGGTCCTCGACCAGGCCTCCACCCCCCAGGAAGCAGCCCATGACAGCTGACCAACTCCCAGGTACCTATTTACACTAGGTAACAGGGGCATCAGGGTGAAAGAAACTCTGCCCATTGTTTCTCGCCGGCGCCCAGGATCAAACCCGGGACCACAGGATCACAAGTCCAGCGTGCTGTCCGCTCGGCTCCCTAATACATGGCTTATTACAAATTGCCACCAACAAAGGCTAGAAATTGACAACACACATCTGGTATGGCGGCATGTGTTGATTATGATCTTGTAATGAAGGAGTTGCATCATCTGATGCTTAGTGCTTTAAAATATTCTCAAATACTAACCACCTTATTTAGCACTTTTTTTTTCAATGACATTAACACCCCCCCCCCCAGCTCATTCTCTTTCTGTATTTTATACTTATTTCATATATGCTCTGAATGGAAATTGAAAATCAATTACATACATTTTTTTAATACAAACAAGTTGTAGGTCAATGTTAATAGTACAGTAATAAAAATGATTTGTACACCATTGTGTAGAGGACCTGTATAATACTGACTCTGGTCATACCATTTCATCATATGCATGTAAAATTATGTTCTGATGGCAAAACAAATATTAAAGAATGAACCAATAGGAACTACAATGCAAACCCCACAACATAAAATACAACATGGTAAGCGCATAATAAAATAGGTTTTGAATAGCTGGAAACACTGGTCAGCATAACCATTCAACAATGCACCAGCATGTTGGGGAGAAAAAAAAAAAAGTGGAAAATTGTGTACAAAAAAATTATAAACCTATGGAATGCATACTTTCTCCAGCTATCAATGATAATTAGGTTGAAAATTAACATTACAAGTATATGCAAATACTGTATTTTAATTCTAAAATCTAAATTTGAAACAATGCAATACCAAAAATATTTGCAGAAATTTTAACTTTCATTAATTGTGACTTGTATCAATAGTTACATCTTTGTGATGGTTTTAAGTGAAATGAAGTCAATTAAATAAGATATCCAAGCATTAATAGTTTGATTTTTTTTAATCAGTCTTTTTTGATTGACCCGTCACTGTCAGCTCGAGTGTCGTACCTATATTAATATTGTTGATATTTTAAACGATGCACTAACCATATATTGAAGGCAATCGTTGGTTATGTTACAAAACACAACTTACCGAGTATGTACATAGTCAAATAATAAGATTGCTCAATTTTAAAGACTTAAGAAATGGAGCAAAAGGGGTCAGTTATGAAGATTCCTCGATACACCCCAAAAAATCAATACTGTATTGTGTAATCTGAAGTTTAAGAGAACAAATTTTGCACCAGCTGAATTTTACACGCTCGCTGTGTACCTATTTTTGGCAATGTTCATTTAACAAAATGATTACATCTTAAGTATTGAAATATCACTTGTTTCAGTAACTAGGACAACAATAATGATTAACAATTAATAGTAACAAAAAATTATCGCTTGACTAAACACCAGTAGTAGTCACAATGAATGTACACTATATTTAAAATTCACTTACAGATAAGAGCACTGCTCTGATAAAATAAAGTTGAGCATTTATAGGCACTCATTCATACATAAAAATATACAATGATGAGCAGCAGCACAACAATTACATAATGTAATATTTTGTATATCAAATTATAAAAGTATCAACAGATTCATCACGCTGAAGAATCAAAGTTACAATAGTTAATGGCCTTGTTCAATGAAATGTTTAACTGCACATTTACAGAATTCTAATATATATATACACACTTTAATAAATAGTAATGATTAAATTAACCTTAATAGCATTGTTTTGTTTTCAGAAGTGGCACAATTTTGAGCAATTTGCTATGAAAAACATGCCAAAAAAATGAACAAATATTCAAATATTAAAGTAATTATGCTGTATGCTCCAGGTGATAATTACAGAATCTGCAATTACCCGACATCTGGTATTGATGCAGCACCTTCGTCTAGGTGTGCTAGGCCCATTCCTACAAGGTCTAGGCATATTTCCTTAGCACTTTTGTGCATGCGTCACAAAATGCAGGCAACTCGTTTGACAGGTGATGGTTCAAGAATAGCCTATAATTTAAATATAGGCTATTGTGCTGCAACAGAACTGTATAACGCACACAGTGCTCTGCTGGCACACTCACCCTCTCCCTCCGAATTGTATTGGGGTGGCGTGCACAGGTTCCCATCTACAATGTTTGTAATTATTTTGCATTTGTTCTGCTGCATGTGTGCTTTTTAACATGTAAATGTTTGAAAATAATAGCTATGACATGCCTGTATATGTGTATATTACACAAACACAGTATATACTAAATGTGTAAACATTTATGTTGTACAGCTTTTATTGCTCTGTTACTTATGTTTATTGTAATGATTGCTCTATTGTATGGCAAAACTAAAAAAAATATTTGCATAAAAAAATTATTCAAATTCTTACAACAGAAGCTGCATTAACTTCTTTGTCAATGTATTTTTCTTATGTTTTGCCACTCCATTAAGGGATTACAGTATATTTGTAGCATCCATAAATCTCAGCACCAAATATCACTAGATTTCCAATTAAAAAGGATCACAAACATGTGAAAAAGGTGTCTGTAGGGTACTAGGGAGCATGGCCCACCCAACACACCATGTATTACATCTTGGAATAACACCATAAATTTCCTGGATGACCTATTGTGTCACTGGAATATGAGTGTGTTAACAATAAGACATTCCATGATCTACAACCTTTTTAACTTGAGTTCTACAACTAATGCATTGTTGTAAGTTGATCTTTCTCCTGTACGGAAGACATTTCTTCATCTGGATGGTAACAGGGTGCTCGACAGAAACAACGGTACAAAGCCTTTAGTACAGTCTTCCTGTATGCAAATACTGCAAAGATGGCCAATGACTCTAGCAACACATATCGCCACAAACTGTAATAAGAACATTTATTTCATTAGTGCAGCACTAGCAAAGGGCAAGATGGAGCAACCCGTCTTCTTAAAAATAAGATCGGTTTTTGCTTGTATGCGCACTATGGCCAAAAATGAACGCAGTACGAAACGAAATCCGCTCATGAAAGTGATGTATTGCCCCGTTTTCTGCGAGTCCTCTAGCTTACTCGGAAAGGTTAGGAGAGGAAACTTTCAATTAATGGTTTTCATAACGTTTTGAAACTTTATGAGAATTTCCTGCCCTCCTAACCTACCAGAGACCCTTACTTACTGTTGTTGAAAAATAAATCTCAAATTTATTTTCATTTTTTTTTTAAATTTCAAAGTACGTCCATTTTCAGCCATACGGGTAAACGGCCAAAAGCGACATTTTTAAGAGGACAGGTTGGATAGAGGGTTATAAGTGATTCATAATTTAAAGTTTTGAGGTTATTACTGTATTACCAAGTCATTACTGTGAAAAATTGCCAAAAGGGGCTTGAATGTAAAACAGCCAGAACACAAATATAAGCAGGCAAAATAATAATATAAGAAATCAGTGTTAAAAGAGGTCGCATATTGAATGTGATGTGACCAGTTTAAGCCGGGGTGTGGTAGTGACCCGAAGCAAAGGCGAGTTAAGGAAGGTAAATATTGTCCACCTTGTAATGTAATTGTAATGACGGTATTGAAGTCATCATTTAATAAGTGTCAAATAACTTGCTATAGGGTGTTAAAACTTGTTCGAACGTTGTAGCAACATCGTAGTTTCGTGGCGTGTTTGGCGGGTTCATATCAGTACTTCATTTCTATGGAAATCTAGTGCATCTTAGAGCTTGTGGGTGGCATTTGAGTTAGAAGGTAAGCAGATTAAACCCTTGGGAGACCTGAGCTGCTACCTGGTAGTGCACTTGTGTACTTGCACATGCCATCTCTCCATCTATTCTTTCCAAAGACAATGTCTTATTTTACTTCACCTATGCGTTCTGGGCCGTTTTACTCTGGGGGTCAATCTCCGATTCTCATGCTTTTCTCGCACCAGATTTTCTCACAAGCACGATTTGTGATCTGAGCACACCAGAGGTTCTGGTAGAGGCCAGAACCATCAGTTGTTTCAAAGCATTATATGACAAAGCAAGTGTACTAGGAAGAATGGACACCACGAGCATAGCTCTCATCCTGTAACTACACTTGGGTAATTACCAGATTCTAGTCCTAGTGTGATTGTAAAAGTCAAGAGGCTTGGTAGTTTTTGGATGTCTCAAAGGTACCAGAGCTAATGCATCAGCAAGCTACTGAGAGCCAGCCTAGAATATATACACACAATTCTTTAAAAAAATTGCTGGCAACAGTGAATGCGCATATAAATTTTGGCATAGACTTGTGGCTATGGCTAGTTTTGCTACTCTGACCTTTTGGCTTTTGTATGATCTAAATCTAGTGTGACTTATTTCTGATGAAGTGCTGTGGAATAAGAAAATATATTTAAGATATACTAATTGAGTATTAGCCCTTTATACAGATGAAGTTATATCTTGAATAAAATCTCTGAATAACTCCAGTTTCAACTGTGTAGCTGCAGTAACTGTATCAAACTGAAATTTTACTATGGTATCAATTTCTAATCAGTCACATTTAACTTGCAGCAGACACTGTTCTAATATAAAGTATTATTTCTTGTCCATTTTGCTAAATTAGAATTTTTTGGGGCAATCATTTCAGTAAACTTGCAGTCGTAAGTCAGTTATATTTTCAGCATACTAAATTGCTTTTATTTACTAGAAGTAGATTTAGTGAATAATGTGTTCAGGAAGTTCTAACGAAAGGCATGATTAAAAGACTAGAAAAAATATGAACAAGACAAAAAAATACTACTTACTCAACAACTCTTATTTCCAAAATATCATCAGGAACGTCAATAAGCGTGTGGCCAATCATGATGACAAACAACTTCCATCCTTGTTTTAAACTGTTGAAGATAACGATCTCTTAATTATATTTATTAAAAATCTCAATTACATATTTAAAAATCTCAATTACATATTTTTAAATATGTAATTGAGATTTTTAAATAAGCCAAATTTGGACAAAGTATTAGTTTTTATATCCCTTCAATTATATTTTCCTATACAACTTCATTTCGGTACACCAGTGATAACTCAAACACTGCTAAAATGATATCTGAAACTAAAGAAAATAATTTTGAGAACATTGTATAAGAGATAAGTAAAATATTAGAGAATCCTTTTCATAGGTTATATGAAAGGGATTCTCTAATATTTTACTAATCTCTTATACAGTCTTCCCGGCTTGGTGCCTTCTTTTGATATTTAATTACTTACTAATCTTAGATCTTTCTGAAATATCACTATCCAATTACCTGTAAATTTTTATTACAGTGATATAGAACATGAGTATAACACCTTTGGATATTCCTCTTATTACTTTTGCATAGCATTATTATATCTCTGCACAAGATATAATAATTAATAACTTCCCCTGTAACATATAATTAAAATATATGTTAAGTCTGCCCCTGTATAAATCTTTCAAATTAAACACCAGTGTCATTTCTGGGACATCATTTATACATCTTCTTGAGATCTTGAGATGATTTCGGGGCTTTTAGTGTCCCCGCGGCCCGGTCCTCGACCAGGTCTCCACCCCCAGGAAGCAGCTCGTGACAGCTGACTAACACCTAGGTACCTATTTTGCTGCTAGGTAATAGGGGCATAGGGTCAGAGAAACTCTGCCCATTGTTCCTCGCCGGCGCCCGGGATCGAACCCGGGACCACAGGATCACAAGTCCAGCGTGCTGTCCGCTTGGCCGACCGGCTCCCTTACATCATGCCATTCACAGAGCCTCTTCTTTACCATTTGTGTTGCAACACGTATTCTGTATGTACTCAACACTACCTTCCCATATCACGGTTTTTTCATTAACAAGTATTTTCTTTCACTCCCACTCCATACATCAATACAAGTACAAGTAATTAAAATTTAATCAAGAGTTAAATTCAAAATGCTGACTTACCTAAGGGTAGCTTCACAACGTGGGAGGCCATTTCCAAACTTGGGATACTTGCAGGTATGCGAAGTTGCCAAAGCAATAAAGCATAAGTTCACAACCATCAGTAATGTTTCCACCAACTGCAAGATTATATTTATATCCGCTGTAAATAAAAAGAGAAACATTACATTAGTTAATAACATGGTTAAATTAAAAAAAATTAAAGTAAAAATGGTGACATGTCAAAACTTAAATACAGCAATATATATACTGTATCTGTTTAATACCTCGATTTCACCTGGTCATTCCCATTGAGGTAGTGCCAATTAAAGATTAGGATATCCTGCATAACAATTACTCAACCTCTGTAATACACACACACATACGTTCTCATTATAATCCTTCTATGCACAATTCTCTCCCTGTCTAAATCATTATAAAGTACACTACTGTCAAGTCTATCGTCCCACCTTGGAGTGGCAGAAGCACAACATCATGCATTTTTCCCCCTTACCCAATTCCAGAAATTCATTTTAAGAGGAACAGTTAATACATTAATGAGGCTGAAGTACTAAACAAATAGAACCTAACCATATAGTGTACGCGCCTCTACTTACTTTTTAATTTACATAATTCTGCCACAGGTTCCATTAAGCTGCTATCACGATCCTTCCCCGTTGCATATGGTGTAACAAGGACGACTGTAGTTAACACTGCTCCAACAACCCAAGTATAAACAGAATATAGTAGAAAACGTTTTCTAGAGCCAACATCTTGACGATTCCTGGAAAAATATCAATAGGAAGAAAATGCAATTATTATTGTACAGAATATCATAAAAATTAAATGGGGATCAATAGGTAATGCAACAGCAGAACAGTTATAATAGCCTACACAATGTACTAAGGGTTACAAGACATTCACAGTGCATTTTACATTTAAAATATTTAAAATTTACTAACCACAGCCCAGCCTGTGTCTTTGTACAACCCAAATGCACACATTACCCCTTCAACCTGGGTGATTATGCATCTCCTACAGGAACTTTTCTAGCTTTATCTGAAGACTCCTGGCTTTGTTCTTGCATTATTACTTATATTTGCTGCAACCAGGCTGAAGAGCTCAATTGGCAATGCCTCTTCTACTAAAAATTCCTATCTACTGTAATCCTAAAATTACTATTCTTTGATACACTTTACTTCTATAGTTCTTTTAGTATAGTTGCTATATTAAAATTTGTATTTATATACAAAAGTACAATCACAGCTCTATTCCTCCCTCATCATTTGGCACAATATTTTCACAAACTTTCACACACATTCCATTCCTTTCTCTCTATTGCATTTAATAATTTCTTTATATTATCATCAATCCAAGCAGCTTCCCCATATTTTAGCTACTGGATTTCTCCCTTTCATGTCAGTAATATCTGTCATTCAATCGTAACTCGTCTCAAACCCGCTTATAAAATGAATGTGTAATCTATACCTATAAGAGAGTGCCATCTCTAAAAGATACCTGACTAACCAGGCTGTGATTCATACATCAGGTTGTAATCAGCTGCACCCAACAGCCTGGTTGACCAGATGAACAACCAGGAGGCCTGGTCACGAGACCGAGCCGAGGGAACATTAATCCTTGGAACCACAAGGCAGCGACAAGGTAAGTAGGTAGTCAGTCCAAAGTTGGAGGCCATTGGGAGGTAGGTAGGTATAATAACACACACATTTCAGAAATAGGTTATAATCAACTGTTTTTGCTAAAAACAAAATATAATTAATTTATTATAAAACTTTGCAGAATATTATTTGTAACCAAGATAACCGACATTGTGCAGGTTAAAAAATTTTAAAGCAACAACCCATGTTCAAAACATTAAACAAGATTACCAACCCATACTCAGATGATTTATAACATGGTTCCAAAATATGCCACCAGGGGGGGCTACATGGCCTAAAAACAACATGGATCTTCCTTGCATCACCATATATTAGTCAAGACAACTTTATGCCGATACAGGAATTCTTTTCTCCAGATATTGTACAACAAAAATGATAATTCAGGGAGACCACTAACTACTCATCAAGGAATACAGCACTACTGCGTAAGCCAGAAAGTTTTACAATGTGCCAGTGAAGAAGACTATGTAGCTTACTTTGGAGAAACACAAACACATAATAGGCCTGAAACATTGCACAACAATTCAAAATAAACTTTCTTTCATACAGGTTTGTTCAAAATTAGAGGGAAAATTCAATGAGGAATGCTATTAAAAAGATACAAATTGGTTGCACACTACTTACTTTAATGTTCTCCAAATATCGAAGCAGATCACATTAAACCATAGCATGACTCCACAGAAGAAAAAGTATTTGACTGCCCCTGAAAAAAAACCCATAGTACTGTACATATGTAATTGCTATATTGTATAATAAATTTGTAAAACTTGGTCAAATGTAAAAAAAAAATTAGAGCAAACTTTAGTCCAGAATCGGTCATAATTTCAGCCAATCCTTGCAATCATCTTTTGCAGGATTAAATTTCTATTTGCCAATGGCATGGCACGGTGCACGATGTGTGCATCACTCGGTCAATCTGTTAAATACTGTTGGGATTCCATAATATCCAGTAACTGGTTGGGTGACCCGAGTTGTTAATAACGAGCTAATAATCAGGAAAAATGTGGGTCGAATCATTGCAGGTAACTGAAGCTTATAGAAGGAAGATTCTGCTGTGGGCCAGTCAGAGCATGTTTATAAGAAACCAGGAGTTGGCCCTTTGCCTTATTTCCTAATTGGGAATGTTGAGTTATCAGTTTTACTGCAGTTCTTATGTATTAGTACAGTACTGTATATATCAGTATCGGTAATCAAGTATATACACCTGTATTTTGTATGAAAATAAAGTAAAATACCCCATTTTTCATAAACTTACTAGAAGATTCTCTTATAGTAAGGTAAAAGAATATACATTTGTAAACAGATTAAATTGTTTCAAATATGATTTACAAAGTGAATAGGTTAGCAATGGCAGTCATAATTCATTTCAATCATTACCAATTCCAAATACTTTAAACAAGATATAAATTGTTTTCTCCTTAAGAGATACGGCAAATTTATTTAAAAGAACTCACCTAAGGATACACATGACACAAAGCTGATGTCTAAGGTGAGTACCGATCCTGGCAGTAGACAAATGTTGTACAGCAGTAGAGATATTATAAAGCATATCATGTACTGCCCCTGTAGAAGAGGATTTTCAGTATAATTCAACATAAATGACATTTACCGATTTAATTTCAAACTTAACAAATAATTCTTAATTCCAATTTGTCACAAAAAGTTACTTTTATAATCTTTATGATGTCAGGGCTATCTGAAAGCTGAAAGTAAAATGTTGTCTTTGAAAAATATTGAAAAACATAACTGCCTCATGTATAACTATTCACTTACTGAAGCATTAAAAACATGCTCAAATAACGTATAATCAATGTAGGACCAACGTCATTAACGTTGATTCAACATTACATCAACATATTTTACTCGGAATTGCTCGAGGGGGTAACCTCATTCCTGGTAACTTATTGCAATTGTTCGTCATTCCATCTTCCTGCTGCTGTCTGTTAAAAACTTTCCATTGCTAGGTAATTTATGCTGCCTACTATCTCGTGCACAAGAACCCAGCAATTGTTCTTGCTGCTCTATGCCAGTTGCCACCAGCTCATTTCACTGCCTAGGTCACCACAGTAGCTTTCTCATCTGTATCTCCTATTTCATACATTTCTCATTAACACAATAAAACTTTTAGCTAATTGGAACTATACATATACAGTACAGCTTTCTGTGATAAATAACTCATCATCTGCTGTGCTGCATTGATTCACATCATCTACTAAGCTAAAGTTCTTCCCTCACACACTTACCTTGATCTCCCTTATAATAAAAATCACATATACTGTACTATACACTGAACTGTTGGGACATCACATAACTTTGGCATGCTAACAGCAAAAAAAATGCTAGTCATCTTGTTACGATGACAGATATGGTTTATTATTTATGCACCTTTTGGCATACATTACTTATAATTTATATCAAACCAGTCACGTGTTAAACCATTAACTCTTCCTCCATAAAAATCTTTCACTGCAAGTAACATTCATTCAGCATTCTCCATAATACTGGTATCTCCATATGCACTTATATCATGCAAAAAGCAATATAAATTAAGGTCATATGGCCTAATAGTCTTAAATACCTTTTCTGCCATCTCAACTTACCTGTAATGATCTAAGATCCCTTATCAAGAAGAATGCAAGCAGAGTTAAGAAAAGAAGCAGATGAGCCACACCCACACCTGTCCAGTAAAGGCCAGGCTCTGGCTGTTTCTTTTCAAGGCACACAAATACTTTCGTCTGATGAATTTCACATTCTTCAGGACTCGAACTATCATAAACCTGTAATGTAAGAAGAAATCCCTTCAAGCTCACAAGAAAGATATGAATGCCGCTTGGCACACACATTTCCTCGTGTGATCCCAGTCTCTCTTCCTATTAAGTACCACAGAACTGTTAATAATCACAGGCTAGTGATTATATTATGCCTAACCTTAATAAAAAAAAAGGGAGTCATATTTAACAATCCTGGAAGAAACCTTTGTATCCTGTGTCAGGTCAATGAACTTTATAGAACTTGCGTTACTGTGAGATTCCTGGTGCCAACATGACCGTATAAATAATTCGTTTTACCACCACATTTGTTTCAACTCTCAGTAAGACATTACATACAGTACTGTGTAAAGACGAATGGAAGATTTTCTATCATGGCACAATACAATTAAACTAGTCCATTTAATTATTTCTGAACAATCTTTGTTATGGAATGAATACGCTATATTTACATTATACAAATCTTTGTCTTCCCTTAATTGTCTTAACTGAAATGAAAACAAATCTGCGTACCTACTACCGTCACCATGACCACTTTTATAGACGCAAAGCAATGTTGGAATCAATGACTGGTCAAATCAAAATTTAATCATTAGAAAAAATATGAAAAAAATCTAGGTGGTTTGATGCATGATGCTACGTGACTTATTTTGTACATCAGACTTGCACATGCAGTAAACTGTTTTGATGGCATGACAGCGATGAATTCCCATGCCAGTGTATCTCAGGGTGGTATAATGAGTAGAGTATGCAGTGTAGTGAGTATAGGGAGTACAACTGTGTATAATGAGTGCAGGTGTTAGGTGGTGGTTATGAAGGTACATAATTGAATAGGGAGACAGTACAGTAATGAAGGTGGCGGTGGAATAGGGTACATTATTCATGGCAGAACTTACCTTGGCAACACAATATTTTGACCGAGAGACATGATCCAGCTGAATGTAATTGGGCACAAAAGCATCTCCATCATTAAAGAACACCTCCTTTTGGTATATGGATACTGGATCACTTAGCTTGCATCTGACAAAAAAAAATAAAAAGATTAATTGCAATACAGTACTATACACACACAAATAATGCACGAAGAAATCACATTAACGTGACGTATCAATGAGAAAATCAATCTTTTTAAAATCTTTTTAGCTATACATACACAGCAGTGGATTTCAAAAACCTTCACATTAGGGAACATTTGTCAAGATGAATCAAAAGACTCCTAGTAAGTTCACCAGGAATAGCCACAGATGACGCAGGTGTAAATGCTCTCTACACTATTTTTGAACATCACACATTCAAGATCAAATGACGAACTCTAAATTAAAACACAGTACTAGGTACCAAATCTTACTTAGGAAAGCCTTTGTAAGTGAAGCGTGCTTGGGGTTCTCCAGACAGAAAAGGTTTCCAAGACCAGCCTTCGGGAGTACCCGTACAATTGTGGTAAACATCGTATACTGTGTTTGGTGGACAGCACAAGGGCAGCTCTTCACCTTTTGGTTCATCTGTAAATATACTTTTGCATTAGCTTACATAAAACAAATAAGCTGATACATTTACAAAATATCCTACCATAATTTACAAAATATCCTACCATAATTTACAAAATATCCTACCATAATTTTCAAGACCTTCACAATGGGTAAAACAGAATAATACAATCACTACAATACCCTAACAAACCTAAATGCCCAAAATAAAATGAGTAGAGAAAAATGTATTTTACCCCGTCAACTGTATGTAAAAGGGATGTTGATTAAGAGAAGCTTTAACAGTCCCTCAATTCAAACAAAACTGACTAATGAATCTTGCAAAATCAGCAAAATGTGACAGGAATACGTGGAATGATGCATGCGTGTGTGTGTGTGAAATAAATTACATTAGTCTTATAAGTGTGAGGTAATACAAGTTCCATACATGACAAAATTAAATACAAATGATAAAACACAAAAGTGAAGTCTTAAACAAGATGGATTACCAGGAGGATGAAAAATTCGGATACAGGCTGAAAATGGAACATGCTATATTTGAGCCAAGAAAAAATTATGGCATCTGAATTTACTCCACCTGTAGTCTTTACTTCCCTCTATTGTCACACTAGGATTTCTATTCATTGTGGAAGACACAGACTTGGTCGATGCTGCAGCAAGAGGTAAAAACTAAAACCTCGAAAGTCATATGCATCTTGAAAATATATATTAGTGATACCCTTGAAAAGTCTTAATGAACATGTTCTGTTGTAACAGCAAATTTAAACATTTAACTGATCTGTATTTGATCAGTTATACAATTTAGAATCTTCAAAAAGCTGTCTTAAATTAAAGTAGAAATTAAAAACTATATACAGTATTTATATGCACTAGCAATAATTTAAAAAGAATCTGAAGTATTCACTACATTAACAAATTTTAAAAAATTACGAAACGCTAAATCCACTAAGCAATTTAAACATTCTAATGTGAAATATGCTCGGTTTATATGTTTAATTTAATGTTCATCTGTGGTAAAATTACAGAGAAATTATATGTTCCTTTATTATTTACTCCTCTTTCCATTTATTTGTTATTTGTGCTTTGTTACAAGGTAGTGTTATACTTGCCAGCCTCACCTATAAGATGAATTGGATCAGCAACATGGCTCTCAGCGTGGAGGGAGGGTGCGGCTGCGGGCTCACCTTCATACTGATATCTGTCATCACCATAGCTGTAGTCATAGTTATCAGGGGCGTCGAACTGGGCACCCCTTCCAACTGTTGCTAACACACCAACAGCTATGCACAAACATAAATTAATACTTCTGAACTTCATTCTTCTGTGATGAGATTCACAGTTTTCAGGAAGCAGAATAGCAAAACTAAGTTCTAATAATTTTCAGGGTGTTGCTTTTGTGTTTCTTTTCCTACACATCACTTGGTCCATGCCAAAAACTTGTCTGAAAATAAAATAATTTAATATTAATTGGGTTGAAAGTTTGTACCAACACAAATTGCAGTACTACACATGAGAATCCCCTCAACATAGCAATAATTAAAATAATTTGTTGCATCAAGCAGTGGACACATTTAACATTATCATCCTCATGCATGCAGGTAACTGTGCACTGCACCGTATTATGATTTTTGTAAGAATACTGTAGTGGTCAGTGTGGGGCTTTTGTACTGATCAAAGTTTATTAACAGGCATCACTCTGATTTACAAAGTTTAACTATCTCGAGCATACAGTAATATTAATTCTATATAACCAACATCATGTTGACTATAATATGTATAGTAATCATTAATATTAAAACTAATACAGTGAAGTATGTATGTGTTTGTAATTACCTAAATGTAGTTACAGGATGAGAATATTTCGAAGTGATTACCACGAGGGTACATACCCCTTTGAAGACAGGTTGTATTCTTGGGCATTAATCATTCACCACCGCCAGCCGCGAATGTGACTTCCTTTGTTAGCAAAACGTCCATCGCAAACCACCACTACCTCGAGCTACAGCCACACCACACTAACCATCCACCAAGAACTACAACCACCACATGCTAAACATCACAGCCACCACACTAACCACCAATAATTACATTACTCCACACTAACCAACCTGTTTACGGGCTCACCATAGCCCGTGCTATATGGACACTTCGTTCTGAATAGCTAAATCTAAAAACAACAACTAACCACCTGCCAAAGTTACATTTACCCACGAAAAACTACGACCACTCTACACTAACCACCTCATCTCAGACAGTCTTGGCCTCAGCGATACTGTAAACTGCCTTGTACAGATACTTGCGAGCCTATTCTTGGATCACTCGTGATATAAAATGTATACGTATCTGTGTAAACCCGTCCTCAGACTAAATCCATTCCATCCAGCGGTCGACCCCAAAGACGCATTCAACATTTTATAACATTGCTCTTCATTCAAAACAGGAATTCTCAAATATAAATTAATATTGTTATACATTAGCATACTGTGCATATTTAGGCATTAGTTAGGTTAGGTGTTTAGGTTCTGTTGGCGATTATTTGTATTTGTAGTAAGTGGGTGCAACCCGTCCTCGGACCAAGTCCATTCCACTCTATTTTATCACCCTTATGGAATGGACTTTGGACTTTGTTTATGAGAACGGGCTGCAACGCCATAGTTCGTTTAGCTAAGCAAGTGACAATCTTGTGAAGCTAGTTACACAGTTGTTAATATTACTCAAACATACATAATACATACTCATATACATAACGTTTGTGTGTGAGTAATATTAACAACTGTAACTAGTTTCACAAGATTGTCACTTGCTTAGCTAAACGAAGTCTGAGGACGTGTTGCACCCACTTACTACAAGTACACATAATCGCCAACAGAACCACCTAACCTAACCAATTCCTAAATATGCACAGTATGCTAATATATAACTTATTTGTGAGAAAATTCCTCTTTTGAATGAACAGCATGTTAAAATTCATGAATGGATCAAGGTCACGGCCCTTGTGGATTTGTTCATTTGATGCATCACGCAATTGTGATGTCCGTGTGTAATTGATGAATGGGTTTTGGGGTCAACCGCTGGATGGAATGGATTTGGTCTGAGGACGGGTTGAGGGTTCAGGAGGGACTGAACCCATTATGTTCCTCTGCAACCCTTTCCACCAACGCCCACGGGAAGCTTATGGGGGTTGCATAATAAATAAATGAAGGACACGGTTGATTATTGATCCAACACCGTGTTACATGCGCCGGTCATAACCTCTACAGACGTTGGAAATGTATGTTTATCTCTCAGAATGTTCGGTAATACGTTTATTGTTTGTGATGTGTGTCTATGTATGTATTAACACGATGTACTGAACGGGGTGAGAATAGCTTGAGCTACCTCATCCCTTTGTGTGTATTTTACCTCAATAAACTTATTTCAATTTCTACAGACACTGGAGATACCACTATCTCTGACACCGTTTATTTAGGTGATTCATACAACAACACTCATGCGGGTCCTCCACTTGTTTTGCTTTGGTTTATTTTCTCCAAGATTTCATGGCAATGTTTTAGTGATCAAGTTACACAAGCCAAGATGGAAAATATATATAATAGATTATTAGTCACCAGGTAATTTAGGGTAGCTTTTATGCCTTTAATATGCCTATCAGAGTAATAAGTACTAGAAAGATAATACATAGGTTAAATCTTCCAGGAAGTGGCAAATTTTTTTTCGATTGCAATGATTCAGAACAGTATTCCCAGCCCATGTGCCACTCTACACTATGCTATGGTTAACCCCCGCTTATAACACACGTGTATGTATATAGGCCGTCCTTTGGATTCAACCTACATACTTCAGCACATTTGGAGATACTCAGTTTTACTATGGCGGTGTGTCCACTCACAGTATGAGTGACGCTGCCCAATACTGTCACAATGGCGGCATGTTCACTCACAGTGAGTGACGCTGCCCAATACTGTCACAATGGCGGCATGTTCACTCACAGTGAGTGACGCTGCCCAATACTGAACTATGCAATCCAAACTTCCACAAGACCAGATTGTTAATGAAAGAACATATGCACTAGAAGGTTAAAAGACCTGTCGCCGCTCAAGCCAGTGTTGATGCGTAGAAATAACTTGTTCACCTTCACAAACATACAACCACTTCTTGTTTGACTATGTCCTCGCAGGTTCTGGACACACACAAAAAAACAAGAGTATAAAAATGCGAAGATCGGCAACCACCACACGAAGCTTTTAAAGACAATCCTTCAGTAGAGGGAGGCGACTTAGCAAGTACCAGGCGGGTCCTCAGACTTGGATACCCATGTGCATGGGAAATAGGCTTACAGGTTCCGGAAGATTGGAGAAAAACAACAGTAAAGGAACAGGAAATGAGATTGAGGATAGGGGCAGACAGATTCACTGCAAACCACAATTAAGTGTGCAAGGAACTGAATAAGAAATTCCAGGGGGTCTTCACAATAGAGCAAGGGAGAGGAAATGTCAGCACTGTGGAGAAATGCCACAACAGACCACTGGAACATTATCTAACACAGTGCACAGTTACAAACCCATGAAGATTTCAACCTAGATTCAACAGAGCAGAAGTTGTTGTTAAACACGTGGTACAAAAATCTTACTGAAGCGACCATACAAGTCATAAATACTCATACTCCGCCCAAGTAAAACAAACAAGCAACACTTAGTGAACCAGCCAGAGGCTTAGGGCCCGCGCAGGAATATCCCTTAACAAAAATATCAGGCGGGTACGAATACAAGTCGCTTGTATACAAGACGATTCGCCAACGGATTTAGAAACCAACCTATCAATCCAAACCAATCTATCCTAACTTAACCGAGCCTAATATAGCTTAACCTAAGTTAATACTGTACATACTAGCCTAACAATATATACGGTTTTAATCAAAAAGCGAGCCTCGTCGAATCGTCTTGTGTATTAAATGACCATACATTGTATATACGACTATTCGCCAACGGATTTTGAGCCCTGCCTAACCTAACTCAACCTACTGCCATAGAAACTAAAGGATGACTACGATAAAATTAAAATATATCAACAAGTGCAAGGTACTGAAGCAGTGCTGGGAACAGGCGACCTTACACAAGATACTTTACGGATGAGAAAATCCTCCCGAATCTGAGAGAAAAATACTTGAAGGCTAATTACTATTGCACCAAACTCGTCACCAGGTTGCCCAACATAAGAACAGCGTTTAAGACTGAACAAAGAGTCGCCCAGGACCTTGTATAGCAAATGTCAGACCATTTCTGTAATATGCGGCACCAGCGTAGAATCCTTTACCTTGTCAAAACAAAAATAATCCGGAGAAAAGTTCAGAGGCATACTATAGACTCCGAGTTAAACAGATATGACTTACTAGTCAAGACTAAGTGAATTAAACTTCACGTTACCGAAACAAAACAGTTTGAGACATGACATACAAAATAGGAATAGATAGGACAGACCACTTCGCATGGGTAATACATGAGTAAGGGACACAGGTTAAAGCACCCAAACGAGCCACCTTGATATAAATATCCTTTTTTTGTATGTCAGGACAGCTTTAAATGTTGGCACAATAGATCCCAATAGCCTCTAGTGCAAACGTATACACCAGTCGATTAAGCGTCGAGGTGGAACCCAAGAGCCGTAGCTCATCCTCCAGCAAATACAACTAGGTGAGTGTAAGGGATACCTTGAGGCAAGGAGCAGCAGCAGCGGGCGTGTCCCGGTTGCTCTGCCTGCTCTCGCACAAGACAGCACATATATGACTTATTTATAACCGAAATAGTGACTATAAGCAATAAGTACATATGTGACATTCCAAGCCATTTTTTCAAGGCACTAACTTTTTCTCTCAGTCTTATTAAACAATAGAGATTTTATACAAAATTTGACAATATCCTGAGTTACTTTACAATTTATTTAAATATTTTAGTTTTGTTTTATTATTTTTATAAAACTGTAATATCAATACAGGTATAGGTTCAGTACTAATTGTAATATCTTAACATACTAAGGTTAGGTTAGGTTGTGGTTTTCTATTCAGCTTTTCACGGTAAACATATATTCACAATAAATTAGTATGTCAGATATGCATTTATTCATAAGCAAGATATTGACTATAAGCAAGTTTTTTTTATTACTATTATTTTCTACCACAGACGTGGCCACACAGTTACAATGCTAACCAGCATATATACATTTTCTTCTGTCCTCCATGGACAGGGTTAGCGATGTGTTAATCATATAGTTCAGGGGTTTATTGAACAATCAACCACAGAAGGTGATTCGGTGCTTTTAAAATGCTAAGCTAACCTACATACGTAAATACATTGATACACAGATTTACGTATGCCCTACATAAAGTGTTTGATGTGTCTTTTACATAGTGTCATTAATGTGCATTTACAAATGTGAAATGTAATT